ATATATATATGGATTTTTTACGAATATGGATACAAATAATGATAAATAAATAAATAATATGTATATGTTGATTCAGCGTATGTTAACGAATTATGATTAATTTGGGTGCGAGGTCAAGTTGAAAGAGGCCTCAATCGGGCCAGGTTGTGGTTTCAATCTTGTCCAGTTGCCATCAGCAGCAAGTTGAGTGCCCCGTCGTCAAAGGGCTGACCGATGCAAAGTCTTTCGTAGCTCGAGCCCTTTGGGAGGGTATTATCAAGTCCTCTTGGCCGGCTGTACTTTTCCGTCTTGTTGGAACCTGCTGGTTGACGTCGTCCTGCGGCTATGGTCACGATGTGCCAACTCATCTTTCGTATGTCCTCCCACTCAGCAGACATACTCACAAGGCAATGCCATAAAGTCACTTGGTCAACTCAGATCATACAACAATGTTGAAAGATGTGTTTAGGTGTGATTATTGCAACGTATTGGGCATGTCTCAAATGAGGCATGGCAGACTGGGACAGCAATAATAAAGAATTTACCCAAAGTAAGACAGACCAGAGCAAATAGGAGAATGTAGCAACGCATTTTGATGACTTTAGCACAATCGACGTCAAGTCTAGCGCATTCTCGTCTCATTTATATGATCTCCAGTTGCCCTGACAACACGAGCAGGTGCTTGACAGACCGTTAATATTAATAAACAGGCGCATCCAAGTCTAAATTTAGCCGCATTACAAAACCTACTATCTCCTCAGTCAAGCATAAACACTCCACACTCTTTAGTGCCAACTCCTCCAGTTGGTGTACAGATGAGGGTCTTTGCAGGCTTTGACCAGAACCTCTTCCGAGGGTGTTAGGTGGGATGGACGCTCGATAAATGTTCAGTTCGCAGCTATCTTCAGGCAAATTGTCTGAGTAAAGTAAGCATATTTCGCGGGAGGTGGCGAAATAAGATACAGATACTTGTCTCACAAATTCGCAGCATGAGATTGTATTGTGAACTCAAGTTGCCATGCCCACTCATGTTTGGTCAGGAAGCTGTCAAGGTGTAATGTCGCAAGGGGTAAATCGAATGGTGGCCCAGAGTAACGGTAGTTAGGGCCGGAAGAGAGTGGAGGCTTTGTTTCCACCTTCATTGGCAGTCACTCGAATCAAGCGGCCGGACTCGAACCCAGGCCGAGCAGGCGCACAGTCGGCTTTGGCGTGTCGAGGCGGTTGAAAGTTGTGTCCTGGCGAAGGGAAGACATGTTGCTGCCTCTTTCGTTGGGTGGGAAAACTTGCCGTTTTGCTGGACTATCGCTTACTTCCACTTTTGAGTGAAAGTGTTGCGTGAAGAGATTTGAAGGTTGGAGCTTGCTCGACTCGCTGGCTTCAATTTTGTCGTGACGATGATACCTCGTTCTGGTGAGGTTCGTCACGTG